CCTTTGTAGAGTTTGGGCAATAGGAATAAAGAGGAGAGCTGGCAAATTACTTATTATACAGTTTGTTAATCCCACTATTAGCTTAATCTTGCTGCAAAAAGCCTCCGTTCTCCTCTGACTCATTTTCCATTATGCAAATACACATCAGAAATCACACGCTTTTTCTGTCGAGCTCTAGAGATGCTGCTGTGCCTGGTCACCCAAAACAGAGCACAGAGGAGACTGTTCCTGCTGTGTGCTGCCTTCTGCTGGAAAGACAAATGTCCTTTTGAAGGAAAAACCCCCAAACCAGAAAATTCTTTTCTGTGTTGAAGTTTCCCACCAACTCATGGACGTGTGGCTGCACACACTGAACACACCCCCATGCTTTTTCTCAAAGAGGCTCATCTTTTCTTTAGCCAGCCTCTGAAAGCAGCCTGGTCAGAAAGCCCAGGATCCTGTGACAAATTTGCAAACCCACCTGCACCCATCCAGCCTCAATTTTCAGCATCTGTAAAGATGGAGACTTAATACCCAGTGTCACCAGGCATTTTGAGACCTGGAGGTTAGAATGAGTAGCAGAATGAACTTTTCTCTACACATCCATAGTCACGCAGTCAAAGACACCGGAGCTCAAGAAAGTCCCCTTAACCACATCTGGGAACAACTGCAGAGTGCCTGAGCCTTCACTCCCGCAGCTGCTGAGTCACTGCCTCCCCCTGAGGAGGGAATTGAAGCCAACATCAGCTTTGCTGCTTTGGAGGAGGGATGGGAAACCACTTCCCCAGCTGGGTCTTACTCTCCCCGGGGCCAAACACCACCCTCCAGCATAACCAAACATGGGAAGCTCCAGTAGCCTACGCCAGGGCTGCAGGTAAAGGTCTGCCGTCTATGAACGGGCTGGTGAGCGGGCTAAATCCTGCTCACAGGCGGGCTGGGGGCACTGATCACAAGCTCCATCTCCCAGATCTGAAATATGGCCTGAAAATCCTGTGAGATACAACTCTAGAACTGGAAGAAGTCTTCTCGATCTTATTAGCAACTCCTCAGAAATAGCCTGTTACATGCTGAGGTGCACAGAGGCAATTTCTCATACAGAGAGAGATTCACAGAACGGTCCATCGAGGAAGCGGCACGCAGGCCGTTTTCTGCAGCCCTGTTATGACATCCCACTGACAGGGGAAGGTCACCTTAAGTCACCTGCTGGGGCAGAAAGGATCCCAGTTAAAATAGCAGAAACCTGGAAATGAATTCAGGGTAACACAGAAAAACTCTAATTACTGCAAACTAATCCTGCACTTTGAAATTTAGCACCTGTTAATGCAGCATACTGTAATGAAATCCCTGCCAACAAGAAGCAGTATATAAAAAGTAGATAGCCAGGTTGAATCTGTCCTTAAAGATGTGTATTTTCAGACATTTTTAAAAAAAAAAAGAGAAGGCAAAATAAAACAAAGCAAACAACTCCAAACAACAACCTCCTCTCATGCGAGGCACGGTAACAGGAGCTCTGCTGCTGACCGAGGCATGCAATGCCATCTACAGTTTTACTCCAGAAATTCATGCACAGGCAACCAAACCAAACCAAGTGCTTTCTGCCCTCAGAGATCCTCCCGCTGCAAGTCGCTTGGTCGCTTTGCAGTCACTCTCGACCCATTTAGAACACAAGCCCTTGGCAATGAGCAGCGAGCGGAGCCGAAGCAGGAGGGCAGGGAGCGGGGCTGAAGGCCGGGTGCTCAGCCCGGCTGGGTGCCGCGGCACGAACCGGGAGGGAATGGCCCGCCGAAGGTCCTGCCCCACGGGGCTGGGACGTGCACCACCCCGGGCCTTCGCAGGGCTCCTCTTCCTCCTCCGTGAGAGTCACTCCTGCCCACGGGCAAACTCTTCATGTCCACTTGCTCTGCTTTTAAACTAGAATCTGCATAATAGAGATGGATGGATGGATGGATGGATGGATGGATGGATGGATGGATGGATAGATAGACAGATAAGATAGACAGATAAGATAGACAGATAAGATAGACAGATAAGATAGACAGATAAGATAGACAAGATAGATAAAATAGGTTAGATTAGATAGGTTAGATTAGATAGGTTAGATTAGATTAAATAGAGGGATGGGTGGGCAGAGGGATGAGTGGACGGATGGAGGGTTGGAGGGATGGATGAAATATAGATAATATCATATATAGGTATGTACCAAGTCTCAAACTGCACGTGTTATTACTCTTTTAGGAGAAGGTGGTGGGAGCTGGGCTGGATTAAATAAGTACCTTGACAGAGCAGGTACATGTTAAAGACCAGAAGCCCGCACGCCAAGTCAGGCACCAGTAAACAGAGGCAGTGGCTTGCCTGGCTACCCACCACGGCTGGCAAGGGACGACCAACCAGCCAGAGACAAGCCTACAGCAGCACGCAGCGACGTGCCAGGGGAAGAGGTGGCATCACACGCGGATCTCTGGGCCAAGCAGTCCCAGCTGGGACCTTGCACAGCACGGCCCGTCCCAGCTGCGTCGGTCCCAGCCTGGCCCGTACTCCGCGGCGGAAACACAAACTTGTACAGTGTCAGTAAGGTAAGGGACTAATTACTAAACCTAGAACTGCTTCCACATTTTGTCCGACCAGCTGACAGTTCTAGTGCCCGTTACTTGCTGTGGTGACTCCAGTTTAAATTTCTTGCCCTCGGAGACGCACCCAAGATCTAGATTTGGATTTCTGAGTGCCATTTAAGACCAGAAATTAGAGAAATAAAAAATGCAAGCCGAGCAAGGAGTTGCCTAAAACCTCACTTTGGGAACAGCAGTTGCCTCAGCAGAGGAAGGCACCCAGAAGGGCAGCCTTGGCCGTGCCGTGCGGGCGGTCCTTCCCCGCAGCTGGAACCCCCCGGGCAGGGCACGGGGGCTGCGGGGGCAGCCCACCTCCCTCACCTGCCTGCTCAGCAACGCCCCCGAGAAACGTTATTTTTACTGCAGCCCAAATTAAGCATCCCTATGGTATGAGTTATGTGAAGAAGGGCTGTCAGAAAAGACCAGCAAACAATCAGAATGGCACTGTTAAATTTTCAACTAACATGAATTCCCCCAAATGTTTAGAGCAAAGGGCTCAGGCTAAAAATTAAGTAAATAATTTTCTCTGGTGCTGAAATATGAAACCAGAGGTTTTGTAACTACCAGTTCAAGTGCTAGGATGACAGACATTCCTCCACCGCTCCTCTATAAATAGCAGTTTTCTCCCAAGACTCCAGCATCCCAACTTGAAAAAAAAAAAAAAAGCATGGTATTTCATTTCTACATTTCTAGAGCATGACCACTATTAGTATCTCCCTTCTGTTGTCAACTGAAAGAAAAATATTGAAATAATCCTTATTGCTGCCTGACACAACAGGTGAGATTAGGTACCAGGGTACAGACCTCCCGGCTGCTCCAGAGGGGCTGGTGGGAACAGACCTTCCCCCGGCAGCAGCCAGCGCCCGCCTGTCCCCACCAGGAGATGACGGGCCCCAAGGCCACCACAGCAACTCCCCCATGGCCTCCCTCCTGCATCGTCTAGGATAGAGCAAATGCTGGCAGTGACAGCCTTTTAAATTCTGTTAAGTACTATACAAGAGCGGCTTAAATGCAAGTCATAATTGTAAGTTATGTATTAATTTGCACATTTCTTACCTGTAACATCTCTCACTGGTCTAAGTATATAAAAAGGTATTATCTGATACAGTAATATATTTTACAGCTTTTTCAAAAAAGCCCAGATTAAACACAAGTCTTGGAAGAAGAGTCAAATAATTAAACCTAAAAATGCTATAAATATTTATTTTCAAAAAGCACTGAATCAACTTCATTACACAATTTTGAGTCTGGCAGACCCAAGTACTGCACCAGCTGTGTAATACACAGAGCTCCTGGAAGTGCAAATCTTTTTCCTCCCCCTAATCAGAACCAGGAATCTTACACTTTCTTGTCCCTGCCGAGCAAGAATCAATGATACCGATCTAACACCGAAGAAGAGCTGCTTTAGGAGCTGCCAAAATGAACTGCAGAACCTCAAAATTCAAGACAGACCAACAAGACTGCTGAAACGGCATCAGCCAAAGACATCCCCCACCAACGGCCTGGCCGCCTTTGCCCTCTCGGCCCCGCTACCTGCCGCACGACCCGCACCGAGAGGGGACACTTCTGCCCTCCTGACCGCCGCAAACCCCCGGCCTCACCAGTCCAGACCACAGAGACGTGGCAGGCGGTGACACAGGCTGGCCCAGGACAAGGGGGAGAGCGGCTGCTCACGCGCCAGGGACTGCCCCACCACGGGTCTAACCTCACCGCCAACCCCAACACCTCTCTCACCAAAAACACAGGGGCGCGTTTCCCAAATACAAGTCACAGTCAGCACCTACAACTAGCCCCCTTCTTTCCAAACCTCCCCAGTCTGAAGTCTTACCCAAGCCATCTAAAACAGGTCTTTTAAATTGTGTGCAGCAATGCTTGAGACTGTAAAACTGCAGCCGGTGCAAGGTCTTCGTTATTTCCTTGTGATGCACCGGTTAACAGCTCTCCGCTCCTCACAACTGCTAATTCACACCTGCTATACAATGCTGATCCATGCCCCATGGAGAGTCCCCAGCACTTCAGATGCAGTCTTCCTAACATCTAGCCTAATGCCAATTCAAATCACAAACGCCCTCAAAACATTCCAGCCCATAAAACCTGTCAGGTTACAGGTCTGTTTTCTCCAGATACTTCCTTTCCTCTTCCTTTCATCTTCACTGTCAAAGCCTTGTGAGGGATCAAAGACAGCATCTGGATTATCTTTAGGAGGTGCAAGAAATTCACTTTTCCGCAAATAGAACTGCAGTTTAGATTCTCCTGTCTGAAACGAGTTGGGGAGAAAATGGTTACTGCTTTACAGTCAGCCCCCGAAACCCCGCTTCGCTGTCTCTCACGGTCGCGTCCTCTGCACGGGATTGCTGCGCCCTCGGGCTGCCACGCCGGCGCCCGAGCAGCGCCTTGCGCTCGCACGGCACTTACCGACGGGCAGGCGGAGGGTGATGTTGTTGCAGAAGTCGGTGTAGCAGCACTCGGTCTTCGTGATGTTCTTGGAACTGTGGCAGAAGACCTGCGCGTTCAGCTCCGGGAGGGAGACGCAGGACTTGATGACCTCCTCCCGCCCGTTGGTCAGCATGACCGAGGCCCAGCAGGCACCCTCCGTCTGGCAGGTGAAGTTGGTGTGCTCGCACAGCTGGCACACGCACTTCAGACCTGAAAAAGAGGTTCCCAGCTTTCGTGAGAAGGCCCTGGGAAGGCAGCACCCCGCGGCCACCGTGCCAGCCTCTCGCCAGCCAGCTGCCCACGAGCACGCTGCCGGAGCTCCGGCGCAGGTCCCGTGCCGGGCCCAACACCCACAGGCAACAGGTTTTTAAACCAGGCGCTCCTCGGTCACAGGAAAGCGTACAGCACCTATCTTGCATGGTGGAGAAGACTGACCACCCCAAAAAGAAGTTTCTCTGAAAGCTGCCTCTTGCCGAGGTGGGGGGGGAGAGGAGGTTCAGGCCTTCGGGTTGGCGTTCTCAGCTGCCACGGACTCAAGCCAACACCTGAGACAGCGCTCAGGACAAACGCACGGGCACCTGCTGGATTTCAACGTGCCTGTCCAGACACAGCTACGCTCGCTACGGACCGAATTTTCAATAATGCCAACAGCCACCGTTTGAGGGAGGGGTGCTGACCCCCACCCCTGTGCCGGCCACCCCCTCGCCAGAGCCCCGGGGCGGAGGAATCGCCGAGATGCAAAGTCCGGGCACGCACCACCCCACCGCCGACAGACAGACACGGGCCGTACCTACGGACTTTTCCTCTCTCCCTCTTCTGAGATGGCGCGCCCTTTTCAGGCGCGCAAACAGCTGCCCGATTTCTCTCGGTGCAAAAGTCTGATGAATTCTAAACTTTGCATGTTTTTAACCATATCTTCATGTTTTAAACCATATCTTCATGTTTTACCAAATCAAGTAGAAACACATTTAATAACTACTACGTTTTTCAGGCTTTATTGACTTTTGGAAGACGAGCGGGGAAATCAAAGCCACATCATCTCAGTGAAACACCAGATGTCAACAACATGTTTTTTTCCCTTCCTTGTTTTCTTCACCTGCTTCATAACAAACAATTTTTGCTTGCTTCGTGCCAAGTTTAGGAGCCCATGTTAGCAGTGATAATCAAATAACCAAGACACCTTAACTTTGGGCTGAAAGCAATTTCTACAAGAAACCCTTCCTTAGGTACACTTTATATGATTATTTTGTTTCTGTAAAAAAAAAAGGCAAATAAACCAAAACCCAAACATCCCATTTTACAGTACAGAGACTTGATCTCTTCAACTTTTGACTTAAACAGTTCTTACCCCACCACAGGGTCCCCCAAGTGCGTTCTGTACACCTTCCCAGGTCAGTTATAACTCTACAAGATTGAACCCAGCTCGACTTATGGAAGCCACGGTATTAAAAAAAAAAAAAAGAAAAAGTAATTTGATCCATAAATCTATTCTGCTCCTTTGGGAATTGGACAGGGGGAGGCTGTTTCTTAAAGATAATAGACATCCAAAAAGTAAAACCACGAGGAGACTGGGATGGCCACCAGGAAGAGAAGAGCTTTCGCTGGCCCCCGACAAGCCAGCGCACTCCAACCACTGCCGCGTTTCTCGCTCTGACGCCTTTCCCCGACCGAAGCGGGACCCAAACCAGCCTCTGCCATCCCCCCGAGCTGGCAACCAGCCTCGGGCCTGTCCGGCCAGAGCACCCCGGCTCGGGGTGTCGTCCCCCGGCCACGTCGGGCGCGTGGGGCTGGGCGGCCCCGCGCACGGGCGGGAGCACCGGGGACTTGTCTCCGTCTCCGGAGGAGCGGAGAAGTCCCCACAGATGTCAGCGCAAATCCGATTTCTGTTTCTGTGACACTATTTGTTTTTCTTTACAACAATCTTCATCCCTTCTGAAATAACAGCTTGTAGTGTTTATCTTCAGCTCAGGCCCGCAACAAACTTCCTTGGCACCATATGTTCGTGTTTATCCTGGATGCAGGGTACGCTAGGAGCCATATCACTGTCTGTCTGCTTCAGCTTTCTCCCGGTGTGGGGAGCGAGCACAATCAATCACCCAGCAACAGAACAGGTGAATCTCTTCCTTAAAGACATTACCGTAGCCCTAGAAGAGATGCCAGGAGCAAGACTCATCAGATCCAAATAAATAAGAAATCTAGCAGAAGAAAAACAGACACATCATCACCAACACTGCAAAATAAAAGCATTACTTGAGGAAATGAATACAAGACTGTCGCAAGTGTCTTCAGTGTTTCAGGCACGTCATTATGCTGTTTTTCTCCCCCTTCTCATGGTCTAAAAATAAAATGGGAAATGGTCTTTACGACGTCATCCACAGTAGATAACTGGCAGTTTTATCTATATTCTGGTATTTTGCAGATGGCTTGAGAGAGGAGCTGATCAAAACTGTCACTGCAAGTCCTGAACAGCTCCAAGGATATTCCTCTGAGCTCCATGAACACACAGAGAGACAAGAAAGCCAAGGGGCTCTGCAAACTCACTTTGACCAAGCTGAGAGAGCCACTCATTTCGGGAATGAAAGGGGCCCTGCACCACCTCAAGCCTATTTGTACCCAGAGTTGGCTGGAAGTCAAGCTGGCCGGCAAGTCTGACAGTTGGCTCGCTTGGCAGGGGAATCAAGGGGTGCCACCACTGGCAGATCGGTATTTTCTACTGTTGTATTCAGAGAGTGGTTTACTCTGCTCGATGTCCTTTTCCCTTTCTACATCACTGGTAGAAAGACTCTATCCCCATTCTTCCACTTAGTTCTGAACGTTTTGCTCAAAGCTGACTTGTCCAACCTACTGCCTGCGACCAGAAGTTCACAGGCCTATGGAAGTCAGCCCTGCTCCCCACAGAGTTGTTTCTGCGAGAAGCCATTAAGCAAAGAACAAGAAAAAGAAAGTTTGGGTCAAAATTCTCAATACAACCCAATCACATTATTATTGCTTCTGAAAGTGAATGAGTTCAGCCACTTGGTAACAAGGTGGGACGAGCGGGGACAGGAGCATGTTGAATTTAATACTTCCAGATAATTTTCATGCCCACTGGAGACTAGAAAGTTCTGGAGACCAAGATAGCTCAACAAGAATTCCCTATTCTCCTTCGGAAATACTGAGCTCACAGAAGTCAGGTGAGACAGGCACACAAACTTCTGATACAAACATGACTTTCAGAGTTCGGAAGAGGTGGAAGAGCACACAAAGAAAAACTTGTCCACACCCAACACCACCACATCCTACAAAACATTTTAAGGCATGTTTGTCCTACCACACTCGAACTGTTGCCTTTTTCAGTCATTCCTTTTAAAAAAGCGGAGAACCACGGCCCTGGCAGGCACAAAGCCTTCAGCCTGTGCTTCTCAGCCCAGCTCCTTCCAGCTGTTCTATTCTGGTCCTGACCCTCACCCCGTCCCGGATCCTGTCCCCCCATCGTTCGGCAGCTCCGGGATCCCGCTGGGACCTCTCCCCGGGAGCACCCCCAGCCCCCTGCGCTGCACCCCCTGGCCACCTCGGCTGCTCCCACGGTGGCCCACACTCACCGTTTGCACCGTGCCAGCTCCCAGAGCCCCACCGACACATCCTCCCAGTCCACACGTCTCCTCCTTCACACCCTCCCAGTTCCTGCTTTACTCCCCCGCTCTCGGTCCCGCTTTCGTCCCCGTGGGGCTGCCAGCTGCAGCATTAGCCCCCGCAGCCCCGGCTCCATCACACCTTCCCCCACCTCTGGGCCAAGGCTCCCCCCCACCCCGCTCAGCAGCGGCACTCAGATTTCAGATTTTCCCAGCGTTGTGTCTTCTGCCATTCCTCACCCACGGTTAAATGCTGCTCTGATACAGGAAAAACAAACAAACAAGAAACAACAGAAAAACCGGTGCAGCTAAATCTATTCAAAGACAAGACCAGAGTTTGAGTTGTGGGCAAGACAAGACTCTCTCTTCCCAGAAGATTTACATAGACCACTTTTAAATATAATTCAGCAAAAACAGAAGCCCAGGACAAGTTCCCCAGACATCTGCCTGCCTGTGCTACTGGCTAATTTCTCACGTAGAACCTTCTCCAGCTCTGTTCCCAAGGTCGGTCCCAGCAACATGACCGGCGATGCACTGTCGTGGGGGGAAAGTCAGGACTTCCACCACCATGGAAACTAGAGAAGTGGAATAAGGTGACTGTGAAGGAGTTAAACAGAAAAGGATCAAAGAGGCAGGAGGAAAATGTGCTCCCCAAGTTTGAAAATAAGGCACTCTTTAATCCAGTAATGAACACAACTCCTTTATTTACTCAAGCACAACAATATTTCCCTTAAAACATTGCATTCTCTGATTGAGAAATTAGGAGAAAGTGAACAACTGAAATATGCCATGGCCTCAGAGAGCTATGTGAGGCATCCAAACTTGGTTACCAATGGTTACAGTTCTCTGAGCACGTAATTCTCCAGCAGCCATTAACAAATTTCTCCTGATTCCCCCCAAAGCACCGCAGCCCCGGAAGGCTCGGGGGGCCGGTGTCCCGCCGTGAGCGCAGCCCGAGGCAGGGCTGGGGGCAGAGCAGGGCTCCCCTCGCTCCCAAAGGGGAACGTGGTGCTGGTCAGGACCCAGCTGAACACCCGGAGAAGCTGTTGGCCAGCGAGGCGACTGGGGAGCTGAGTCACAAATGGTCAGATACACAGGGAAAGCAACTTTTAGACACAGGGACCACACGGAGCAGGTGTTCCCTGCTTTTAGCAATTTTTAAGACATAAGTAGTTTTTCAAGGACTCATCTTTCTGCTGTTTGCAGAATAAAAGCTGAGACTGTATACCAATTTCTTGGATGAGACCCACTATGAATCAAGGACAGGATGACTTGCTCTTTGGAGCAGAAAATAACCTGCATGACTTACATAAAAAGCAACAGTTTTTTTCCTTTTAGTTTTCAGTGCTACTGTAAGAAAACGCACAGTGCAGGCAAGCACACTGTGCAATTAGCTTACGTACAGGAAGAACTGAACCAGCATCTGATTCACAACAAATCAACACCAAGATGCACAACAGATTTGTTTGTTTGTATGCTTCCATCCATTTTTCCTCAAGCGTCAGATTCAAATACATGAATCACTAGATAACTACGGAACAAGAACAATACTACTTGATGGAAGAATGCGAGTTTAGACACCATCTTAATGAAATCAGC